CTCCCTGGTAAAAGGTAAGAAGAAGGGAGGGGGAGACAATAAGATAGATTTTTTTACATCTCACCCACCTACACACAGCATAGACCCATTGCACCTGTCACACATAAACACACACTACACCCCCCCACACACACAGGCTGCCCCCTCACACACACTGTAACCCTCACACACAGACTGCCACCCTCACACACACTGCACCCATTACACACGTACACAATGATTACACAACCACACACAGCACCCTTCAGACACACACACTGCACCCTTCACACACACACACACAAAAGTAGCATAGACAATAGAAAAAAAAGATTTTCAGTAAATGCTTAAAAAAAAAAAATCCGCAGTATAACGTTATAAAATTAGTCACTGTGGCACTGGTGGGTGGTAAGGAAATTTTACCATCAACAAAGATACAAAAGTGGGTGGTAAGTATCAAAAGGTTGACTAGAAAAACTTTAACTTAATGAAGTGACTTTTGTGTATCAATCATGCCTCTGTAACCAATCTACTCAATTATCTTCTATTTGGAAGTTCACTTTGTTTATACATCTATAGCCACACCTCCCTGGCTGATCATCACAAAGCTCTCCTAAGAATGTCCTGTAAAATAGCTCAAATGTCTAGGTTCCCTTATTGCACAGTGTGTTTAATTTGGAATTTACTGTTCTGTTAATAGTCTGCTAGAGCCTAAAGGAGTGTATGATTAATGTTCAATTAACAGAGTACGTGGTAGGAAGATCTAAAGTTAACACACTATGTGTAAGATCTGATTGTGAGCCAGTAGGGGCACATCAAAAAGTGGAAGGGGAATTGAAACAGAAGAAAATAACTAAAATTCAAATGTAGAAAGAGGATTAAAGACTACAAATACAAAAATAATGGAGATGGAGGTATCATGCATCTACTTATACCCCAAGACCTAGATCTTTAGATCTAGAAACCAACACACAACACCAGAGATACAGGACCTGTCTTATGAGATGTCAAAGCCCTTATTTTTATTTTTTTGTGTGCGTGTGTTTGCTATTTACCTTTTTTAATATTTTTACTTGTTATACAGGCCAACTCTTTCTAGATTAAACACAACAGTCTGTTTTAGATAAACAGGATTTTTCCTGTATGGATTATTTTATAGCATTTCTACATACAACAAATACTACTCAGTTTGTTACTTATCTAATCTATCTATCGCTATACTTTGTGACCACTAGATGGCGCATCAGTTCCTTCCCTGCAAAATTGGTGACAAAAATCAAAATGACTTCCAGACCATATTATCTATTATTCTTCTTATTCTTATTTTATTATTTATACAGCACCAGCAAAATCCATAGCGCTGTACAATGGGTACTGTAGAATTCCCCCCAAAAAAGGAACATGTGCATCAATGATCCTTGGCCGCCCATGACTCTGATGCTGGGTCATGGGTTATCATTTCATGCACTACGTTTGTGGTAGGTATGCATACTGGAGAACCCCACAAGACTTGCCATTTTGGAGATGCTCTGACCAAGTCGTTTAGCCATCACTATTCACCCTTGTCAAAATCACTCTTTTCACTTGCCCGTTGTTTCTGCTTCAAACACATGAAATTCAAGAATTGACTGTTCACTTGCTGCCGAATATATCCCACTCCTTTGGCAGGTGCCATTGTAACAATATAATCAGTGTTATTTACTTTATCTGTCAGTTGGTTTAGTGATGTGGCTTATCAATTTGTGTATGCAGGGCTCGAGACCTGCAGGAACGCGTGGGAATGGCGTTCCTGCACTTTTTTTTTTTTTAGCAGGAACACCGTTCCCGCTGTTGCTGCAGGACTCGGGGGCGGCATAAAATGCCGTCCACAAATGCCCCCCGGTGTTCCCCCTGTCATGGGGGGGCCCAAGAGGTGATGGATCTCCCCCGGCAGGCACCTGTCTCAAGCGGGGAGGGAGCTGTGTGCTCTCTGCTCCCTCTCAGCGCGTAGGCTGTCTGCTGATGTCTGAGTGTGTGTGTGTGAGAGTGTATGTGTCTGAGTATGTGTGTGTCTGTCTGAGTGTATGTATGTGTGTGTGTGTGTGTCTGTGAATGTATGTGTGTGTCTGTGTGTGTGTCTGAGTGTGTGTGTCTGTGAGTGAGTGTGTCTGTGAGTGCGTGTCTCTGTGAGTGTGTGTCTGAGTATGTGTGTGTCTGAGTATGTATGTGTGTCTGTGAGTGTATGTGTGTGTCTGTGAGTGTGGGTCTGTGAGTGTATGTGTGTGTCTGAGTGTATGTATCTGTGTCTGTGAGTGTGTGTGTGTCTGTGAGTGTGTGTGTGTCTGAGTATGTGTGTGTCTGTGAGTATGTGTCTGTGAATGCATGTGTGTGTGTCTGTGTGTCTGAGTATGTGTGTCAGTGTGTGTCTGTGTGTGTGTGTATGTATATATATATACATATAAACAAAATATGTATTTTGGCACTCACCCTTTCTCCAAATGAAGTTAATTTATGCCTGGTTGCAATCCCACGTTGTAGATATATAGAAAAATAAAGCAAGAGATGCACTCTCAAGGCTTTTTAGGTGAATATAAAAGTGATACAATAAGTGATACATCAAAAAAATTACTGACGTTTCGACCCGTTCGGGTCTTCCTCAAGATCATTGTACCCATACAGAAAAGTTATATATATAGGAAATATCAAATTGTTCTCACCAATAGTGACAGAACTCCTAACTCCCTCTGTGTCAACCCGGAAGTGAAACCTGCAGTCACGTGACGTGCCATAATGGGAGCGTGGTGACATGTTTTCGGTTGCTAAGATACCGATAAAGTTGTATGATCGGTATTTCGTCCGTGTTGTGTATAAAGCGTGGAATGAGATAAAAATAGCAGAGCAAACCTCTGTCCTCAATTAGAGACTGTGCTTAATAAGTGATGTGTGAAAAAGTGAATAAATCATCTGATGGAAACAACTCAACGACACAAAAATTTAAAGTAAATGAGAAAAAAAAATAGCTTTCTCATTTACTTTACATTTTTGTGTCGTTGAGTTGCCATTCCTGTAGATCAGAGACAATTCCTACAGTCATGGATATAATATCTTTCCATTAGTAGTTTTGCTATAATATATCTGTCTCATATATTTTTGAGATACATATCTTTGCTTTCCTTGTCTGAATATAATTGAGATACTTTTTGAATCCCTTCCTTAGTGTTTATATACATATATTCCCTGTGACTTTATTGAGTTTTCATATATTTCCCTATGGAAAAAGTATATTTTTTCTAGATCTGCTCAAGATTCTGTCTCTCTGTGGTCTTTTTTGCTAAACTAATATAATCCTATGATGAGCCCTAATAGCAGTATGCTTTACTTTTTCTTTCAATCAAATATCTATATTATGCTATACATAAATTATATTATTCTTCCATTATATTTGAAATGTTTTTAATATACTCACATTTTTCTTCCCTTTTTTCCTCACTTAGAATGTGCTGGGATTTGATTACTCACTATCATATAGTTTTCATGACACTTATCACATTACAGATGATTTATTAACTTTTTCACACATCACTTATTAAGCACAGTCTCTAATTGAGGACAGAGGTTTGCTCTGCTATTTTTATCTCATTCCACGCTTTATACACAACACAGACTAAATACCGATCATACAACTTTGTTTATCGGTATCTTAGCAACCGAAAAAACACGTCACCACGCTCCCATTACGGCACGTCACGTGACTGCAGGTTTCACTTCCGGGTTGAGACGGAGGGAGTTAGGAGTTCCATCACTATTGGTGAGTACACTTTGATATTTCCTATATATATAACTTTTCTGTATGGGTACATTGATCTTGAGGAAGACCCACACGGGTCGAAACGTCGGTCATTTTTTTGATGTATCACTTATTGGAATAAATCCTTTTATATTCACCTAAAAAGCCATGAGAGTGCATCTCTTGCTTTATTTTTCTATATATCTACAACGTGGAATTGCACGAGTGTATATTATTTTTTTTTGGGAATCTTGGGAGAGTTCCCACACTTTATTCCCCAGGACTTGACCCCTGTGTCTATGTATATGTATATGTATATATATATATATATCAGCACTAGCAGCCAAATCGTTAAATAACCCTTGGCAATAAGAGGGTTAACTATGTAGTGGCTAGGAAGCATCTGCTAGCCAGTCACAATGTAAAATATTTTCTCAAAATAAAAAAATAAATAAAAAGTCCATGGGGGTCATATTACATATTTAGCTTCTGCTAAATTTTTAAAACTAGTTACTGGGCAGACATAGCACCCCGTGCACCCACTAGTGGGTATTGAGCGGGGACATTTAAATAAGTAATGCCTCCACCATTAGCACATGGGAGCTATTAGAAGATTCAGAGGGTAGAAACTAGTAACCCCCTGACCCCCAGCCATTGGCTACAGGTAGGGGCTATAATTAAACAATGGGGAGTGGACATGCTATTGTCCACCCCCATTAAAAAGTAATTAGTCTAATAAAAGTGAGAGGGTCCAATAAAACTGATACTCGTAAAATAACGTCTTCTTTCTTCAAATTTTTCTTATGTCATAAAAAGACAAAATAATCCATAAATCCCAACACAAATAATTAAAAATAAAATCCAACACGCAAAAAAACCCCCAAAACAGATACAATAAAATGAATCCATCTTCACCCAGCTCTGATAGTGGGGAAAGTCCTTACTAAGGCACTACGTTAGCTATTACATTGTGTGAGAAAAGTCCAGATTTCTGACATCCAGTCCATATTCACGCCATTCTTAATTTTGCAGTCTGAATTGCCCCATACAGCACTAGATGGTTTTTGCCCTGTTCAATACAGGGCCATTTGGACTCTAGTGAATAACCTTATAAATAAACAAATTAAAACACAATGGAGAAAAAAGAAACTTTGCAATGGTATTTTATATCCAAAAATATGCTATTTGAAGGATAATTTCTGCAATTTGTCCAATGCTTTGCATATTTGTGGTAGTTTGCACAATGTTCCACTAGGTGTCACCAGAGTTCTTCAACCCAAAGGTGTATTTTGCTTTCCCAAAAGTCCAAGTGAAGTCTGTTTTCAATTTACTGAGCAGTTTCCCTCATCAGAGCTGGGGACTGAACTGTATATCCCATCCCCAAATATCTTTTTTCCCATAGTCTGTAAAAAGCTCTGCTCATAGTAATTAACAATTTATGTTTGTACCAATGCCAGGTTAAAAGTATGAATTGTTGAGAATTCAAACTGAATTAAAAATATTCAGGCCAAAATAGCAAACATTAAACCACGGATATTTAGAATTATTGAGAATCTACTATTTTTTATCTAAAAGTTTAAATTTGGACAGTTTACGATTTATTGAAATACTCTGTTTACGTTTAACTATGTTGTTCTGTCTATGAAAGCAGTGGTTTCTAACCTTTTTGGAACTAGTCATTTCTCATAGAAGAAACATTTTAAAGGCACACCTACTTCTAAATCTTCTAAATATTATTACCAGCGTCTGCGATGGGCGCAGGAAGGGCATCTCACCCGGCAGCATTTCAAGCAAGCAGCCGGGCCCCCTCCTGGTGTCGGGTCCTCGGTCAGTGACCCAGGACCCGACACAGTCTGCCCCGGGCACCCCCCAGTAAGTGGCACCCAGGGAGGACCTTCCCCCCTTTAGTACACCACTGGGGGATATCCAATCTGAGAAGAAAGACAAGTGGTGACATGTTCTACGAAAGACATATCGAGGTGGTAACGGAATCCAAAGGAATACGTTTTCCAAGAGAGGTAGTATAAAGAGATAACTAAAGGGGAACAAGAAAAGAGGTTTGGGTGACTCTACCCGAGACAGGACAAGGGGAGAAGGTGTTATAAGAAAAGGAGACATTGAATAAACATTGGGAGACATAGGAAGAGAACCATGAGAAGACAGTGTCACTGGGACTAGGGGATTAAAGAGTTTGGAATTGATCAACAGTGTCAAAGGTAGTAGAGAGGTCATGAAGAATTAGTATAGAGGCCTTTTGATTTAGCCACAATTAGATACTTTGCTACTTTAATCAGAGCAGTCCAGTGGCGGATCCAGAGCCTGATCTCGGGAGGGGCACTTGTAGATTATTTAAAGAAATACTCCAGGCACAATAACCACTACAGCTCAGTGTAGTAGCTATGGCGCCAGTAGTGCCTGGATCCCATCCCAGAGTAAGTAGTCAAACCGTTTAGGAACAGTTTGCCAACTTACCTGGGGTCTGCTGGGATATAGGGCATAGGAGCAGTGGTATGTGTTAGGGGTGAAGTGTGTGTGAAAGGTGCAGTGTGTGTGTGCGGGTGTGTGATGGCAGTGTAGGTCAGGGTTGCAGTGTGTGTGTTAGGGGGCAGTGTATGTGTGGGAAAGTGTTTGTGTGTAAGCAGTGCAGTGTGTATGTGAGGGTGGCAGTGTATGTGAGAGTTGCAGTGTGTGTATGGGGTCAGTGTTTGTGGGGCAGTGTGTGTATGGGGGGCAGTGTTTGTGGGGCAGTGTGTGTATGGGGGCAGTGTTTGTGGGGCAGTGTGTGTAGTGTGTGTATGGGGCAGTGTTTGTGGGGCAGTGTGTGTATGGGGGCAGTGTTTGTCAGGCAGTGTATGTAGTGTGTGTATGGGGGCAGTGTTTGTGGGGCAGTGTGTGTAGTGTGTGTATGGGGGCAGTGTTTGTGGGGCAGTGTGTGTATGGGGGGCAGTGTTTGTGGGGCAGTGTGTGTAGTGTGTGTATGGGGGGCAGTGTTTGTGGGGCAGTGTTTGTGAGGCAGTGTGTGTATGGGAGGCAGTGTTTGTAGGGCGGTGTGTGTAGTGTGTGTATGGGGGGCAGTGTGTGTTGTGTGTGTATGGAGGGCAGTGCTTGTGGGGCAGTTGTGTGCATGAAGGCAGTGTTTGTGGGGCAGTGTGTGTAGTGTGTGTATGGGGGCAGTGTTTGTGGGGCAGTGTGTGTAGTGTGTGTATGGAGGCAGTGTTTGTGGGGCAATGTGTGTATGGGGGGCAGTGTTTGTGGGGCAGTGTGTGTATGGGGGCAGTGTGTGTATGGGGGCAGTGTTTGTAGGGCGGTGTGTGTAGTGTGTGTATGGGGGCAGTGTTTGTATTCAACCTATGTTGAATTGGGCAGACTAGATGGGCCGAATGGTTCTTATCTGCCGTCACGTCACATTCTATGTATGGGGGGAAGGAGGATAGGGAGGCTTTTTAATATATATTTTTTATTTTATAAAATTAATGTACTTTATGTCCCCCCTCCCTTCTTACCTTTATTGGGAGGAGGGGGGACATTTCTTAGTCCCTGGTGGTCCGGTGGGGGATTCATTGGTGGTCCCAGTGGTGAGAGTAAACTCTAGCCCGCGCTCCAGGGCTAGAGTTCACTCTCGCGAGATTTGGAGCGTTGCTGTGGTTACCAAGAGGAGGACCCGGAGGTGCTGCAGGCTGAGCTCCTGGGTCCTCCCAGCTCCTCCCTCCCTCTCCCTCCCCTGCCGGCTGTCAGCAATGTGCCTGCAGACCGGGGAGGGAGATCTCTGATCTACCCGGTCCGCAGGCACATTGCAGGGCTGGCACTTGAACAATGCCAGCCCTGCATTAGCCGGCAGGGGAGAATCTAGGGGGGGGGGCAATTGCCCTGTTGCCCCCCCCCCTGGATCCGCCACTGGAGCAGTCTCAGTAGAGTGGTGGTAGAAGTCATTCTAGAAGCTTTGAGCAGAATAGGGAGCAGAATTATGGGACAATAGTTGGAAGGGAAAACAGGTCAAGAGATGGCGTTTTTAAGACAGGTGACAGTAGCATGTTTAGGGGGAGCAGGGAAAATTACAGAGTAAAGAGAGCAGTTGAAGATGTGCTTTAAGGACGGCTCAAGACAAAAGAGACAGAGATCTAATTAGGTGAGAGGGGGAAAGTTTGGATTTCTACATTTTATTTTATTTTTCAGACCTCACAAAAACACATTTGCTAAACACAGGGCATAAGAAAACAGAATATCAAAAATTCTGGGAAGTGACAGGTCCTCTTTAACGGCTTCATTTAACCTACTACCGCTCTGACATTAAGAAGTCCAAAACACAGAATGAGGTTGCTCGAAGGCACACACAAGTCTTCTATGCATTAGACACATCTTATATACAGGGCATCTCACCAAACTTTCTATACACCGTCTTTATTTTTTTGCATTATTATTATTATTATTGCCATTAGTTCTTCATATATCAGTGAAGACCTTCATTATCTTGGAAAAGCTCTGTCTTGTGTCTTCTGTCGAGTTTTCTTGCATATCTTGCATATTTTGCACTCACCTGTTTTTATTTCTAGCTCCGGGAGCTGCCAGGATATATACACTACCACCAATGAAGAAAAAAATTGAGGTACATTTAAAAAGGGATGTCCCCATTGAGATGAACAATTGGGAAAGTAAAAAGTGCAATTTAATTTAAAACAAATCTATCCTTCTGCAAATTACTCTGATTCTTGCATTTGCTGGTACCTATGTTGATAACACCTGACATCCGTTCAGAGTCAACATTATTGGATGGGGACTTGTGCCCATGCGTGAATGAACCCATTCAAGAAAATGTTATCCCAGCAATTGAAAACAAATAATTTTTCATTTCAGAGTTAACACACACCTATGTTGTATGTCAGGAAGATAGAAGTCACATGTAGGTCTAATGACTCTCCTAGAGAGCATTTGGTTGGCAGCATAGTGCTGCATTTTGCCATGCATGCGCACTAGCGTTTCAATGCCTCCCTTTGGCGAAGCACTGGATTGGCTGAGATCATCAATATTGTTGATCTCAGCCAATAAGAGTTAGTGCTACCTTTTGTCGTGGTGTTGGAATCAACAAATATACGCTTATTATCCACTCCTTTTTTCCCCTTCTTTTCTTTTCCCCATTCCATGTTATCCTTTGACTGTTCTGATCCTATGTGTCTTACAGCGTTACTGTTTTTCTGCTCCTCTGTTTTTGGTTACTTTTCCACACCATGGATTGTGGTGATGGTGGGATGTGCATAAAGAAAAATAAGAGGTTATGGGAGATGTCCTCCACTGCACAAGTTCCACTCTGATACATGAGGTTGTGGAACGATGTTCTTTGTAAACAGGGAGACAGTGTAAGATGTCAGGATTGCTTGTTCTGACTATCCCGTGTTAAATGTCATATCCTGTTTCGCTTATACCGTTACTTATGTCAGCTACGTGTGTCTATATGCTATTTTTTTTTAAAATAACAATTGTATGTTTATTTGTGTATGCTGGAACTGTATTCCTACCTCTTCCTTAATAAAAATATATTCAAAGTAACAAATTGATTTCATTGTCAATCAAGGGGGTTTGCCAAGCCCCACACCCCCTGTAGCTGTAATCCTCTTTGTGGGTCCAACAAATTAATTTTAAAATTCTTTATGCAAAATGTAAGAAAATCTTTGCTCATTCTTGTGGGAACCTGTTTACCTCCCCAAAAGAAGAGTGGAATACACATCCAATAAGCAAGATGGGTTCGGTGTCTTCTCCATAGTCTATGTATCCATTTCACGCAGCAAATACAAATGACAGTGTTTAAAAGCAAACATTCATTACAAAGAAACCAAAATGGCAATGCAGCACTTTATTTCTGGGAAAAAAAAGTGATCTGCTTATTTTATATATTTTTTTACATTAGTTATACAAATTTATTCATTTAAAAAATAATCTGTGCAAACATTTTTTTCCCCCAGCTTTTCATTATTCTTTCCATATCTTTGCTGTCTACAAGCATGCATGTCAATGGAAATTATACCACAATTGTATGTTTCTGTATGTAGAAGTATAAAGTATATATACACACACACACACAGTGGCAGTTTATTACATCACACTTAAAAATATGCAACTTTGGAACAACTCTAAACACACAACTTTACTCATTAAAAAACAAACATAAAAAGGTACTTTAGGGTTTAACTCTGCAAAAGAAAAAAGAAAAAAAATGATAAATAAGCACTTTTGAAAATATTTTTTTATTTTATATATTTTTTTTTAAATATTAAATGGCAGTGCCTTGTGTGCCATATTAAGTATTGCCTTAAAACATGTATCGCCCTGATCGACCCTAAAGGTATTGGGTAACCCAGTTTTCAAACTTTAAACATACATTATATTTATATCAAAATATTTTGGCAAAAACAAAAAGAAAATCCATAAAGCAATAATGATGTATTGTTGGGAAAATAGAATTCGGTCATCAAAGCCAGCGTGAAGCAAGACTTCCCAAAAAAATAGTGATTTTTTTTTTATGGCTAAAAATTTACTCTATTATGTCTGCAGATTCTGTAATGAAAAATATTTTATACAAAATAATCTGTTCTCTCATTCTCGTTCTGAACACCAAGTTCCTCCGTATACTTCTCACATAGGCAAACATACAGTATATGAATATATGCATTCACACACACACGCACACACACACAAACACACAATATATATATTTCAGTTTCTCCACGAATCTGAAGATCAATAAATGAAGAAATAATTACAATTACAACTTCTGACTTGGATTTCTGGGTTTGTTCATTATATACATGGATCAGAAAGGTTCTGGCGATATTGTAGTAAGTGTCACTGCACCGATGACACACAGTGGAACATTTAATAAACACGTTGACGAGCTTGTACAAGTTACGAAGTCTCCTTGGATGTGGGTGCTTTTCCTGCATTCCCGTTCTGTGCCTTGTAGCTGGTGAAGCTAGGTGTGTGGATAGTGCGGATAGTCTTCATATTTTGAGTCGGTGAAGTGGGAGAGACAGAAGTAGGGGGAGAGGAAGCAGTGGAAGTAGAAGAAGCAGTGGGAGGAGATGGTCGGCCATTTGGGGTCTGCGGTGAGAATGAAAGATGGTGACCTTTACCTGCAAATGCTGTATTTTGAAGTTTCGAAGAGCCATTATGAACAGGACGTATAAGGGAGGAAGCATTAATGCTGCGACTGGTTTGAGTGTTAGAATTTGTTAATGAAACATTTGACTTCACAGACTGATTAGAGGTATTAGAGGTATCATTACACTGAGCAGACATAGAGCTGCTTTTCCCAGTGTTAGAAGAAAGAGCTGGGATCTTAGAAGCAGATAAAGTAGGGGAAGCAGCCTTACAATCCCCACCAGCTTTCTTAGTACCTCCGTTAGCCTGCAAATAAAGATGGCAGGAGACATTTTGTCAAAACACTTAACATGATACACACCAATTAGGGCATAGGAGAAAAAGTCGAAACAGAGAGTTTTGCCGAGTTTTTTTTCTTTTCTGGACCTGGCAGAATCCACAAAGTGCGTAAAGTTTAAGGAGCTAGAAATGAAGCAGATAGTGGCCGTAATGTGACTTTAAACACATCATGGTTGGGACACTGACCATGCGTCTTGACAATGATTAGTTGGAAATGGAAGTGAGTGATCAAGCCATTATTGCGATGCACCAAACACACACATTGTGCATAACACACTAGATCCAGACACACGTCAACTCTTCCTTTCAAGGGCTGTGTTAACACAGAAGGATTTCCTTCTGCTCATCCCAGCCAAACGCCAAGAAGTTAAATCAAGCAACAGATGTTTGTACGGCAGCCATGCAGGAGTATGGTGAAAGTGAGACAGTACTATAGGAATTCTCATGCCACCAGATCCAGGGATATAAGTAAAACAAGTGTAAAAGCATAATTCCTTGTTTTGGTTATATTTAGACAGATACTTGGCTTGAAGTTTAAAAGCTTTTAAGTCCTTCCATATAGGTGTTCTACGGTAAAACTACCTGTCTGTATTGACGTTGTGGCTCCTGTAGTTTTGGCTGTTTGTTAGGTTTTTCTGTGCTTCCTTGTCTAATTTTAGAAGACATTGGTATTGGCATTCGGCTCGTTTGCGACGCTCCATTGGAACCCTACGAGAACAACCAATATGGGAGGGAAAAAAAAGACGACAGAAGAATGAATCACACATAAGTATTAACTTAATCGTATTCACATGCCATGCTCCATCAACATTAAGAATCTTTAGACATGCAAAAAAATATGTTATTGTCAAAAAAAGCACATGATCAAAACAGAATTTAGAGGAAACAACCATTGCAAACACGCAATTTTTATGTCCTGATTTTGCCCATCACCAAAGTATCAAAGACAGTAAACCAACAGGTTGTTAGGCACCTAGTGAAAAGCCAGCCACCGGGAGAAGTAGAAGCAAACAAGTCATTCGGCACCAATTTCTAAGTATCATGATTGGTAAATAATTATGACTCTGGCTTTTTATGCAAAGGTACCTTACGTGCTGCTGAAGGTATTGATGAGGAAGTCTCTATAGTATGTTTAGTTTCATCCACTATTATAAGATCCTTGTCAGGAGTTTGTGTTAAATGTGAAGATTTTTCCTCTCTTAGTTCAACAAAATCAGATCCTGGTTTTGGTGCCATCTCACTCATGGTCGTTTCTAGTTGCTTGATGGTCTGTTCAAGGCTATCTAAGGTCTTATATGTATTTTTCCTTATCTCGTCTGTTCTGGATCCCTGCTCTGGTGCATCCAAGTACAGGGCCTCTTGTTCCGAATGTTTATCATAACTAGTTTTGGTGTTTTCTTCTCTACTCTTGGATCGTGCAATTTCAAACCTTTTCGCTTCCTTATGTTGTTTTACAGTGCCATCAGCTTCTTCTTCCTCCTCATACACTACTACCTGTAAGGTTTTCTTCCCAGTTTTTGTCCCTGTGCGTATAGCCTGTGTCAAAGCAGCTAACTGCTTTTTAGGGAACTTGAACTTGAATTTTTTCTTGGCATCCTGCCTCTGGCTGAGCGCATAATCTGAAGCATCAGACTTATCTTCGTCTGTCAAATGTTCCTGAGAAATATTCCCATCTTCCAACCTTTCCTTCTTCATTTCTGCTAAAGATGGATAACGGAATCTATATTTGTTTTCTAAAGCTAGAGAATGAACAGGATTGTCCTCTTTCTTAGTTAATTCAAGACGGTTTTCGTGAGCAGTAGATGCACCTGGTTCTGGTTTCTCTTTCTCTTCCTCCTCCTCATCCTCTTCATCTATCTTTCCTTCGGACATCATTTTTTCTAGTTCATCATCACATTCCTCAAATATTGTTGAAAGTCTCTTATATGCTGATCTGATATCCATGGGTTCATCAAATATGATAATAACTGGTTTCTTATCTGTGGAGAGGACAGAACCTTCTGGTCCTTGAAGTTCTGTGTTCCCAGAAACTATTTTCTCCGCATTTTCCCTATCCAAGTTAACAGTCTGCACGTCGCTACCCTTCCTGCTCACAATATCCTGAACTTCACCAGTTGACAGAAGCTGCACTTCGGTGTTGGTTATCATAAAAGCAATATTGTCTGCTGGAGACTTCGATTCAGTTGGAGATATGGTAGGAGAATCTCCATCTTCAGATTGCTGGCTAAAAGTTCTTCTGGAATTCTTTTGTCTCATCACTACTGTCTGACCTACATCCATATAAGACATCTCTTGTTCCCGTAACACAGACGCAGCTGTCAAAGGTTCTTTGACTCTTAAAACATCACTCTTCTTCTCCAAATTCAATACAGTGGTGAAGGTGGAAATTAAATCACCTGTTTTATTTTCAGTAATTCCACTCTCTATTTCTGTTACTTGACTGGAGACATTTTTGTTTTTCTCTTCATTATCAAGAATGATCACTCTTTCTTCACCATAACTCTTAAATCCTTTGCCAGTCGATATCTCACCATGCTGTGCTGCACTGCCTTTAGAACTGCTGTCCTGGTGTTCTGCCCTGTCTACAAAAACACTGTAGGTATACTTTTCATTCACTAAAAC